GGTGGTGGCATAGCCGCCGGAGAAGGGGGAGGCAGAGTCGCAGTGTGGAGACATGGGAACAAGTAGAGTTGTAAGTTCGCTCAAATCCCTTGAGATAGAATGATAAAGTCCTTGAAAAGATATATCTGGGCCGAGGGGAAGGTGAGGAATGAAGCTAAGAAGTGGATGGGCTTTGAGTTTTGCTTGAGATGGGCAATGACCAAGAGTCGAGGGCATTTGCCAGGGACATACGGGGTTTATATAGAAGTTGATGACTGTTGAAGACGACAACATGAGCTGAATTCATTATACGCCGGCTGGGGGCCGATTGAGTTCAAAGGCATATGCCTGATGACCCTCTATCCCAACTCCCCTCCTTTCTTTCCGCTGGATATGAATTATCCTATCCATGCCTAGGGGTGGCGTTGAAACCAGCAGGCCTTCTGACCATGTCTGCCCAGGTAGTCCCTCGGTACCGACCACCGGAGTGGATCTGGTTGGTATTGGAGGACGATGAGCCAGTCAACCAGCCGAGAGGCTGAGCATCATGGGCTCTGTGCCTCCAGGGGTCCACAAAGCAAGATGTCAAAGGCATTCTCAGCACAGTGCGCGAGGTCCGGGCCATGTATTGTCTCCCAACTATAAAGGACGATCGCAGTCCCTCTTGGGGCTGATGTGCTGGGGTAGGTAGCTGCCATGTAAATGGGTCTATCAACTGGGCACACACCACACCACACCACACATCATCACCCCTCCCTTGCACCCCGCCATTTCTGGGTTTGACAACGAGGGGCATCAGAGTTGAGGCAGGGAACTTGTAATGCGACCCCCACGGATACCGAGTCGGCCCAATCTGGATACAGGTACTTAAGCTGACCCAACACTGGGGATTTCGGATTTTTGCTACCCGAACCAAGACGCGCGCGCTAACAACGCATGAAATTCCTTCATTACTCTAGGAAAACGAGACCTACAGCGGTTGTTGTAAAAAGACCGCTGTGCTGTTAGGTTTGATTGCTTCGAAGAACACCTAACCGGGATGAAAACCTTGAAAATTAGTCCCCAATGACATGGGATGGTGCTCCTTGGCAGCCAATCTATTTATAAGATGCGGTATCATGAAATCCAAGGTCAGAGAACGAAAACCTTTGACCTTTCGACAGGCTTAGGGTCGATAGTCGGCGGTCATTGTGTTCTAGACTGCAACTCACTGCGGGGCCTGCGCGATAGGGAGCTCGGGAAACAGAGTCGGTAACGTCCAATGCAGGCAGCAAATCCGATGTCGGATTTTTTTCAACTTAGTACGGGCGTCATGCGAGATGGCAGGTGATCGCGTAGAACAAGGGAGTAAACGGTAAGCCCTAGAACCTGGTGCCAATGATAGGATTTCGGCCGCTCCTAGTGATATGTCATTGACAGGAACGTGACGGCTGTCCCATAACTGTGCCTTGAATGCATTGGGAATCAGGCTTGTGTGGTTGGTGGATCCATGCTTGATGCAGGGTGACAAGTTTGTTCATGAAGGCAGTGCCGGGATACGCCTCCTCCCAGTCCTTTTGTCCGGCATACATTGAATTGCAATAGAGAAGGTGTGGTGGTGTCAATCGGCAAATACCAGACCCAACATGCAGGTCGCGCTCCCAGGGGCAGGACACTCGCCACTACTTTGGCGAGGCCACCCCAGTCCAATTCGTCATATGTCTAGTATAATTTCAAGCTCGGCTGATAAATTCCTCTTGGGATATTTGTGAGCACACCGGTTGGCATCTCCCCAGTTTCCTGGATGTCCTCGTTTTTTTAACCGCAAGGTACCGCGTGATGGTGTCTGTTGCGCCCGCCAACTGTCAGCTGGGTCCAACAACGGATCGATTGTCTTCGTGGCATGTCGAGATCCCCCGCAATCTGGGGAAGCCTCCACGATATCGCGTCCGCTTCGTAAAAGGAGCCTAGTAAGGTGGGTTTTGGAGGTGATCAGTACTGTATGTGTGCCCAGAACTCCACATGAAAGCGAAGACTGATTTTGTGTTGAAGACGGGAAATCAAAACCAACATGGAAGCAGGTTTGGCCCCGCAAGTTGGGAATTATGGAGGTAAGTGGAGTGTTTCCCGAGCCTTGGCCAGTCAGGCAGGCACACATCAGGCCGCACCGTGCTTTCTACAGCCACAACATCGGCATCGTGACAGTTTCTAAACTGCAGCCCTCGCGGTCTTTTGTTCATATTCGTCCCCTATGCGTGACGCCGGCCTGGGACCAATCTCAATGAGCTGAGGACTCCTGGAATGGGACGTATGCGCTCTCTGTAGCCTAGCGGGAAATTAGAGGCATGATCGTCAGATCGCCACTGGGATTTGTTGTCACAAAGTGATGGATGAACTGACAACACATGCAAATGCCTCGACAAAATCACCCTCAGGCCTCCCACAGCTTGAGGTGCCAGCATGCCATCCCATCCCAAGAATTGATCAAGTGATGCACCTTCATTAGTAGGTACCTAGGAGGTGAGGTAGGTGCCTAGGTAGGTAGTACTTGCCTCGGAAGAGAGATGCGAGTGGACCTTACCTTCCATTCATTCAGGAGTGGCAGCTGCGTACCTGCCCTAAAACATCCAGGAAAGAGACTTCCGGATGCTTTTATGCCGGTGCCTCAGCGTTGGGAGCACAAGCTACCACACTCGTGGACGCACAAGTCGGCAGGTCCGTTCCTTGGCTGTCCCAATGATGCATCGAACAATTCTGGTTGCTCGCTTCTTGCAGATCGCCTCCCGGGGCAATTCTAAACCGGCTATGCAGACGCAAAGCAAGGGAATGATTCAGCGACCATTGCTACCATTTGCTCATGATGAAATCATCCATAGGTAGGTCAGGTAGCCCCATGGGACCGGCTTCGATGATTGAACAGCAGATTCTGGTAGCCATACCCGGTGATCCCGGCCGAAATCCGACAACATGCGACTCGGGCGTGGGGACAGTCTCCAACTTTTGCCGTCAGACTGGAGCTCGCCCATGACCTCCTCGCCAGCTTCACGGATGCTTCGCTTGCGAACAGAGGCCAACCCCACCAAACAATTTACAACAGGGGTGCACTTCACCGGTTTCCCACTTTTGTTTTACTCTCAGCCTGTGGAGAAGCATCTGAAGAAGCGTCCCCTCACGGGACCTTAGCGCCCTCAACTCGAACGATGGCTGCTGGCTTTGGAGTACCACTTGGCTTTCATCACAACTAGGCCCTGCTGTATGATTTCACTGCCCGTCGAAGTGAGGTCGTCCGTCTCAAGGAAGTTCCATCAATCGGCATGTCCTTGACGTGACAATGTTTTCTCTCAGCCTCTTTAGCCGGCATCAAACACTGAGATCTCGTAAGATGTTACCAAGAGTCCAGTCTCCACAAAACCTATAGAGCTAGAACCGTGAATCTATACAGGTTCCAAAATTCGACTTGGAAGAGGGGCGTTTTTCTGACTCCAGTCTTACATCTCGATATGCTGTAACCTACATCCAGTCTCCAGACGAGGTTTGTGTTAGAGGTTCGGTTCTTGCCTCCCTTTTCGGATTATCCCACAGCTCAATTCGATGGGGAAAGTCTCTAATGGTTAAGACAGAAATTGTCTCGTATCTGCACTTTCAAGGGTTTGATACCCTAGATGCTTCCAAATCCATATCGAGTTAAAACAGAGTTTTGCTGAAGTTGGCCGCAAGGTGTTGTTCTATTGCCCGTACCCTTGCATGATATCCACAATACCTACAGCTTCTCTCGATTCTGTAAGCTGACGACTTCTTCAGCTTCATCGGCATACCGACGAGCAAACGTTCTCATGGGACAGCACAGTGGCCCAACACGGTGAAAGAAAATTGCCCCAACGTTACATTTCAGGATTCCCCTCACGCAGAATGACTCCACGCAAGCGAATGTATGTTAGTCTCCTGCACCCCAAAAGCCCATCGAGCCCTTCGACTACAGCCAGCACGCACTTACACCACCTTGGTCTGCCCGACGCCCTTTTCGGTTATGATGGCGCATGCATAGTCTTAATAGAGGCTGGGCTATTCTTGGCAACCGAAAGTGTCAGCTGGCCCCCGTCAAGCTTGATATCCGACAAGCTGCTCCACTTTGGGCTGAACGATCAGTATTTTTACCCAGAATATTACTTCTTGGGGGCCTTCGTTCCTCTGTTTGGGTCCAGCATCTGGTTTGTGTTAGTCACGTATTTGGAACTAAAGGCCGCGATGTTACCTCGGCCAGACATCAGCTGTCCTCGTGGATCCATACTGTTGAAGAATGCTTTGCATTATACGATCTGTGGAAGTGCCCGTTGGACTCTTCAGTTTTGTGACAAGCCTCGTCGCCTATGCTACGTCGATCTGAGCGGCTCTGGCCAAGAGGGGGGTCTATAAGCGCTGCTGCCGGACCTGACAAGGACCAGGTCTGTCTTTGTTTCTGCCCTGCCCAAGATGGCCGCGGCCAAGCTCAAGTAAAATGCAATGAACTTGAGGACCCTTGCATGTCTACAAGGCCCTTGCCCTATCATGGTGGTTGCAGTCCTGTAATGCAACCATGACGTACTTTAGTTTGGCGCGATATTGTGGCGGGCTACCACCATTGCTTATGCAGGGTTTGCTATTCGCAGGTTTGGTGGCGTACTACTACCCGCGGATATACATTCGGAGTTGTGGAGGGGGGGGGAGCGTTGGCTGGCTGAAAATCAAGGGAGCCATATCCACCCGGAGCTGGAGTGCTGAGAAGGGTGATACTATTGTCTAATCGGCAGTACAGCTTCAAGCCCTCAGCTTGGATGACGGAGAAGATATCATAGGAGACCTTGCCGAGAAGGAGAGTAGTATAATACTCTAATCATCAGCTTGATATACGAAAAGTGTCACCACAGATAGAACGGCTCTATCAATAAGGTACTCAAAAAGGAGAAAAAAATATAGGGCTCTAAGGCTATAGAACTAATATGCTAAAACTCCGGTTGACAACATTAAATCCGTGTCCTGATGCTCCAATGCTAATTTTTGTTTCGTCATTTTACAATGATCAATTCATCATCGTCGTCGTCATCGAGTGTGATTTGTCTCTCTGACAAATTCCCTATACTTTCCCGCCCAGCTAAGCGAATTCCTTTCTCGGTCACAAATCGAGTCTGCTTCTCGACTAAGTTTTGCCCCTCAGCCTTGTTCCGTAGCTTCTCACCCTCCTTCATCCTTGCCAGCTTCTCTTTCAGACCAGCACCCCAACCAAGTGAGGAAGACGAGCTGCCCACGGATCCTGCCTGGGAGCTGATCGGCCGCTTTCTCTTTATGGGGCTGAGGTGAATTTCACGATCCTTATTCTGTAGACCGAGAGACTCAAGAGCTGACTGGGTCTGTTCACTGGCGCTAGGGGCCGTTCTCATGTAGGCTGACGACGCTGGAGAGACTCTCGCCCCAGGTGTTCTTTTCGCAGAGAGTTGCATGTACTCCTTCCCAGCACCGCCTCCGATGCGCCCCAGCTTCTTCATCATGTCACGCTCTCTTTCCTTGGCTGCCAAGCTTCGCTGCAGCTGTGCCTCCTTTTCTTTCCGGTCTATCGCTTGGTCTTTCCCGTCAATGAGATCAGAGGAGCTCATTGACCGGCTAATAAACCACCGTGTCTTGGTCTCCCAATCGTAGTTGGCGGGGGCCTGCTTCGTCTGGCTCGCATTTGGTGCATATCTGGCAAATTTCTTCTTCTCGCCAGAGCCGAACCCACTCCCGGTGCTCATTTCTATCCTCGATGTTTTGGATTTTTGCACTGCTTCATTGGTATGAAACTCGCAGAAGTGTGTTCGCTTCTTATTAACCCATGCTCCACAAGGCTTTCCATCCTTTTTGACAGTCTGGCAGTAGCCCAAATCTCTGGATATTCCAATTTCGAGGATGGTGTCCTGGTCAGAATTGATCACCAAGCTAAATCGTCCAGTATCTTGTCTTCCGGGGGGCGGGGGCATGATGTTAGGGTTGAGAATGCTGACCACAGTACCCTCAGTTATCTTCCAGAATCTGGCAAAGCCCGAGTTGAAAAGAAACAAATCGACTTCGTAATCGAGGTCGACAATGTTAAGAACCATGTAGCTCCCCCGATCCTCGGGTTTCAAGCCGTTTTTCGCGGGAGCCGCTTTGTGTGCTCTCGGTTCCGACTTCTTAGCCACTATGCCAAAAACGACTATATCCTGCTCAACATCAGGAAGAGAAAAGTCCGGCGCCTTGACACTTCGCAATAAGTCCTTTACGCTCATGACCTTTTTCCCAGAGATATGCCGCGCAAGTACCGTGTGTGGCAGGATTCGTCGTGAGAGGTGATACCCAGAGAAAGCTTCGAATGATGCCGGTTCACTTTCTGAATTGTTCGATGACATATCCTTTGAGTCTGCAAGTCTTCTCTCCTTTCTCGTCTCCGAAATGACCCCTGTCGTTGTGTTGCTTCGTTTAAGACTGCCCGAAGTACTCCATCTCTTCGACATCACCTCATCTCTACTAAAAGAAGGAGCTTTCATGGGTACATCAGGGATGTCAATGGCAGAGCTTTTGTATTTCTCCATCTCCTCTCTTCCAATGCCAAAAGACTCGCTGCGAGATGTTTGAACTTGTTGTCTCCGTTCAGCATCCTGGACTTCTTGTGACCTCGCCCCGGCTAATCTTTCACTGAAGCTTAATGGCCGTGCGGGTATTGAGATTGATCCGTCAGAGACATATGATGATCTCGAGGTGCGTAGATAGCCATCTGACTGGCCCGTCTCGTTGCCGATTTTCTGTCGCTTGAAGACTGGAGCCCTTTTGAGTGACACATCACGGGCTTTCAGCCCTTTGTCGATGCCCAACTGAACCCGTCTCGGTGATGTCTGGGCTGGAGGTTCTTGACGCCTCCGTATTGGTGATACCGGCACTAAAACCTCATCCTGTGGCGTTGGTTGGATGGACCCCCCGAATACCATGGTTCCAGTTGGGCTTTGTCGATGCTCCCCTAGAAAACCCGAACGTAGTTCTTGGGTCCTTTGTTGTGTAGCAGCTAAGCCAGAGGCTCTTGCCTTGACATTCTGCAATCTCTTCAGCTTCAGTTTGGCTTGTAGTTCCTGAAGTTTCAGCTGCAACGTCTCCTCGTCGTCGTCGTCGTCAAGATCCATGGCATCTCCAGGAGAGGGCGATACAGCTCTTTGGAGTTTTCTTGACGGAGAGGATGGAGATGTTTCGCTAAGCATTTTCTGGTACCGACTTCGGCCGCTGGGTGTGCTTAACAAGGCATCGCGCGGGGATCGAGGAGGCCACTGCGCTTCCGGTGCTCGTCCTAAAAGTTTGGCGGCTCAAGTCAGCTTCCATCATCTCGATCTCCTTGGCCTTGATTTCCTACTTACCAGGTGGCATTTTAGCTGTCTTTTATGCGAAATGAGAATATTGTTCGAAAATTTATTCAGGTTTGGCAGTGGCCGGAGCCCACCTCAGACCTGATGATCAGGAATAGCCAAGGCGTCCCAGGCGAGCCAGCTCGCCTCCTCTGAAAAATAAAGCTGAATATCGGAGCCGGATATGTTCTATCGCAAATGATACAACACTAGTACGTACCGATTTTCAGGAATACCTAATAGATGATGCCTTGCTTGGATTGCTACCCAGCTGTGATAATTGTGGGCTTGTTTTGCATGAAGCCTATTGGACAGGATAAAGAGATACCGCTCAACGCGTCAACTAGCGCGTTTTACCTCTAACGCGCCACCAGTAATTATTAAAGTTACCGCAACCACTTGGCGCAACTACTCATCTCCGACATGAGGAAGAGAGATTCATTCATTTGATCTGATTTTGTATTTTTTTTGGTCTTCTTTTCTAACCCGGTTCTTTTTGATACCCATTAGAGTATTTTCTTGGTCACCTATTCAGGCCTCATCAGCTCAATCGGTTAAACAATATTCATAGTATTTTTCAGTTTAATAGTCTCCCAGCTGCGCCCAGACAGCATGCCTCGAACAAGATCAACAAAGAACGATTCAGCGGAGACGAAAGGGGAAGCAAGTTCGAAATCGTCTGTCTCGAAGTATCCTCTCGGGGCTAAAAATGAGAAGCCTCCTACAGTGTTCATTTTACCCAAGAAGGCAACACAGGATGCTCGGATCGTAAATCTTCCCAACCCTCGAAATGCGAAACCCTCTCGATATCTAGTATGCCCTACGACTGGTATATACGAGTTTACGAAGATTTCGGCACCTAAATCCATGCCACGAAGCTGGCTCATCGAAAGCAATGGTGTCGAGGACGCCTCAGATACAAGCAAGACCAACAATTCGCGTGGCCAGGTTGCCTCCAGTGCCGACCTCTATGTTGCTACGACTATCGACCCTCTCTTCTTCGTGCTACCTGCGTTGGTTCACGCCGATTCTTCTCGAAAGGCTGAGGAGAAGCGGCGATTGTTTATGACCATCTACGATCATTTGGACAAACTTGAAACTGAAGAATCCCACATGTCTGAAATTCTCCGATGGGAGGGGACGCGGTCTCTCCTGGAATCCCGAATGGCGGCAGTTTGCGATACCGCTGACGGGGGTGGTGACATCATGTTTCGGCTCAATGAAAAGAAGCTTTTTGCTATAATACTGAACAAAGCCAGGAAAATGTGTCAAGGCGGCCTTGCGCCAAGCATGGAGGAGAAGTTTGTCACCAAAGCATTGGAGGCACCAGTGCAGGTGTCAAGCCAGAGATCCTCCGACTCAAAGCAGGCAAAATCCAGCACAGAGAAAGGACCCGGATCTGGAGAATCAACACCCCAGACCGAGTCCGCAGACTCGCAGTCTACCACAGCCACTTCTCAGTCTGACCTATCAGCAGATTCACAAGCCTCGACAGCAGCAACGTCGGTAGAGGACGACGGCGATGTTGTAAGCGCAGTCAAAGTCTCGGATGACGTTGTTCATTTACAGAGGCTCCGTACTGCCTTTAGTTTCATCTCCTCACGCTACCTGACATCCAGCCTAGCGACCCAGCTTTCGAGTTCCCTCGCGGATCAGACTACTAGCGGAATCGATTTCGCACCATTAGATGCATATTATACAGAACTTGCCAAATTGCGTGCAGAAGCTGCTGCATCCAGAGCTATAGGCGATTACACCAAGAAGCGCGGACTTGATGCGGAGGAGGAAGAAGCCAGAGCCGAAAAGAAGCGTAAGCTCGAGGAGGAAAAGAAGAAGAAGGCAAGCGAAAGCCGCGCTTCGAAAGAGCTCAAGAAGGTCAACACGGCCGGGATGATGAAACTCAGCGCATTCTTCAAGAAGAAATAGGCCAGGAGTATGGAATAATGAATGCCAGGATTGGGGTATCGAAAAAGGAAGAAATTCTACATGTCGCAGACGTGGCCCAAATTATTTAACTATCTCACGCCTCTTGAGCGACCTCTATTCGTGCCGAACCCCCTACCTATATTCGAGGTACCACGGCTACTAGAGCTTGCTCCCGCAGTTGTCGAAGAGCTTGAGGCACCTCTCCCGATAGAACCAGCCCTCGTCCTACCTCGAACGGACCCACGACTACCAGTAATACCTCGCGATCCTCGGGTCGAGGTTGCTGTACCTAATCTTCTTTTCTCCTCTTCTTCTTCGCGGCGACGGCGCAGCTCTTGCTTTCGTTCCTCTTCTTCGGCAGCCTTTCTTATCTCGGCTTGCTGCTTGCGGAGGGCCTCTGCTTCCTGTTCCGCCAGATCTTCGGTAGTGCCCTTCCAACTAGGATGCAGAATTAATCGTTGATTGTGCTCCGTCTGTGACAGCATTCTGGTCCATGTGTTAAGCAGGGTAGATGCATTCGCCACGGTCTGGGATACAGTCTGCAGCAGGGCAAGTTAGTATCGGGAATGCATGAGGACGGTAAATGCGGCATACATTCATGTTCCCTCCTGCACGTTCCAATGTCGCAATGACACCTTCCAGCGATTCATTTATGCTGCGGACTCCTTGGAGTTCCTTGCGGAGAGCAGCATCGCGGTCAACTGGTTCTGCCCGTCGTTCGGATTGGGCCGTCGGAGTTTTGGGCGTCTTGGGCGTTTTAGGTGTCTTAGGACGTTCGGCTAGCGGTGCATTATGGTTTGGAGAGGTCCAGATGTCCGACTCTGTATACTGGGATTCGTCCGCCATTGGATATGACTTTTGACCGAGGAACAGTTCCCTCAATTCTGCCAGTGTATTATTATTATTCGTATCGGGGGCAATCAGACGCTGTGCATAGTGGATAGGCAGCGATGCAGACAGGGTGTCGTCGGATAGGCTTGGAAATGGTGGGGTGACGTCGCTTTGTTTGATGTTTTTCGCTGCATAAAGAATGTTATGGCCAAAACAACAAAACCACTTTAACGGTGAATTGAGGGGCATTGTCATAGTACCCTGTAGCTCTAGCTCCGGCACTTTAAAGACGCGTGGTACCTTTGGACGCGAAACTCACGCGCGCAAGTGGGGCGCGTAAAGCAGGTCGTGTGGAGGAGGCTGGATTCTGGCCAGCACACGCGGGTGGGCCGACTCCCCGACACCTGTTACCAGCCCCCTCCCTTGAGTTCCCTTGAATTCAAACGACAATGTCCAGCCCGGCCAACTCCCTACCCTTTACCTCCCATTTCCAAACAACTCAACATTGCATGCTCAGCAACCAAACCATCTATTGACTTGCAATTCTATACTATTCAATCGTTATCAGATTGCTGAATTCTTTTTATTTTCTACCCTGCACTCAAAAAATTTAGCGGACGCACTAATATTGATTGATTTTGGCTGTTTCTACACATCTTTTGGTCTGGCTTAAGCGGTGCACAGAGTTCTTCCGCAACGACACGGCACCTGACAACACCAGGACGCACAAGGACTCGCTTGCTCTCCGGGACCTTCTCACCTTTCTCTCAGATTCACCATTCTGCCGGTGCAAACCTCACCATGGCGACCACACCCTCACCTGCGGCTGATCTCCCGCAGACACCTCCTGCTCCTCGTCACGGCGCCTATTATGACAGCTGGGAACCCTACTCACCACGCAAATCTGCCAGAATCTCAGAGCGCAACACCAACAGGACTCCTTCTCCCCGAGCTTCACGCCACCCATCGTCACCGCGCAAGAACCGTGCCGACCAAGAGTCCCCTGAAATGTCACCAAGGAAGAAGCGTCAACCTGCCGCTGATTCTGTGCGCCGAGCATCCGGTCCTTTGACTGCAGAGGGAACTGCCAAAGCAGCTGCCGCCTTAGGTCTGAAGCCCAAGTCGGAGCCTTCAACATCAAAGGCAACTGCCTCATCTTCCGCAAGCATGCTTCTCACTCCAACCAAGACACCTCGCAAGCCCGCTGCCGCTGGCCAAGCAGATATTGACACCTTCAAGCGCAACCTCTTTGGCTCTGAAGACGACTCGGCTCTCAGCAGCCGTACAAGGCGACCCAAGAAGTACTCCGGCCTGACCATGGAAAGCTTTACCGCCGAGACGATTGAGGACCCCATTGCCATCTTCACCGACTCGCAAGATCGAGTTCCTGTGAAGGATGACAGCCTCTCGAACCCTTTCTACGGTGATTCCGCACCCACAACGGAGCCAGCTAGGCGTCGCAACAAACAAAAGATGGTCAGAGTTCCAGGCGTTGGGATGCAAACTCTCGAGGAAGCAGCTCGCCGCGACGACGGAATGCTTTGTTCATTGTAAGTGATCTGCACCTGTACTAAATCCCCATTCACGAGCCAAAGCTAACATAACCTCAGCCGTGGGAAAACTTTCTTCAGACCTTACTCTCAAGTCAATGATGACGACGAAGAGGAAGCTGACGCCACTACATCCGCCCATCTTACACACCCACTAAGCCGATCTACTATCAAGCCTCGCCGGTTGTTCCAGTCAGAGAAGCCGGCACCATCCATAGAGGACGAAGAGGCCGCAACAGACGTAGAGGACTTGCACGAAGAGGAATTAGATGCCCCAGCAACACCCTCCAGGGTCGAGACGGGGCGCGAGAAGACCCCAGAAGCACCAAAATTCGGGCCCGTATCGCCTCCAGCTACCAAACGGACAACTCGCTCGATGAATAAGCTTGCCGATGACACTCCAGTTAAGGCCAGCAGGCAAAGTCCATTTGAATCATGGCGGGTGGCTAAGAAGAATGTCAAGGCACCACGCACAGTGAAACGCCAAGGAGATGACCTTGCCCAAGAGCAGCAGACGAAGCGAGCCCGCGCTTGAGGCATCGGTGTACTACGGATAATGATGAATAGGGAATGGGGTGTGTGGTTCTTTTAGGATTCCCTCTGGAATACATGGGTCCTTGTTTATTTGCCTTTTTGGCTTATCTTCTTCTGCGTCACTCTTGAAAGTTGACGGTTTCTACTTTTTTGAGTTCATGCTTCACCCTTCGTTGTATTTACAGGATGTTGCAGGATTTTGTGCTTGGCGTTGGGACGGGAGGGAACAGGCTGCTTTGTTTGCGCCTCAGATGAGCGCTTCCATAGGGTAAATAGATAGTGTCAAAAGTCATATCACGGCTTACTTTTTCAGACAATAATAAAGTTTTCGCATTGTTTTGAATTCTGCAGTCTCCCTCGCTCCTTCGCTTCCGTTGCGCAGATAATTGATATTGCTTTCAAAGAGAGCGGCACATATCGGGTTCCAACTTTTTGGTGCCCCACGTTGCCCCTCCTTGGCTCAACAACTTTCTTAATCACGTCAACCACACATTGCCCATACTCCAGGCCTACATGGTGCTTGGCGTTCGAAAATACCAGCCCGGGAGGAATTCGCTCAGAAGGGCCTCGGAGTTCGGTTCTGGGTCTTTGAACCGCTCTATTTTATGACATCTCCCTCCAAACGCCATCCTCAACTCTGTTTACGATGCATATTCTCGTCACCAACGATGATGGCCCTCCATCGCCAGATTCCTCACCATATGTTCGCTGTCTTATAAAGCAACTCCAGGATGCCGGCCACACTGTCTCGGTTTGCCTGCCACACACCCAGCGATCTTGGATTGGAAAAGCCCACATGATTGGCCAGACTCTCAAGCCAACCTACTACCGTCCTTCAAAAGAGCTGCACGGCGAGGAGGCTCTGGGAAGCACTCACCCTCGCCCGTCCGCCTCCGGAGATGTCGAAGAGTGGGTTCTGATTGATGGCACGCCTGCATCATGTGTTCAGATTGGGCTTCACCACTTCTTTCAAGACCGGGGGCCGATCGATCTGGTCGTGAGCGGTCCCAACTATGGCAGAAACACAACTGCTGTATTTGCACTGAGCTCGGGAACTATGGGCGCTGCCCTCGAGGCTGCTGTTTGCCGGCACAAGGCCATTGCCCTGAGTTTCGCCTTCTTCAGCCGAAACCATGATCCCGTCATCATCGAATCGGCGTGCCGCCGGAGTGTAAAGGTTGTCGAGGCTCTATACAAGCAATGGCCCACCGACAACAGTGCGGATCTTTACAGCGTAAATGTACCCCTCATTGAGGGTGTTGAGAACAACAAGGTATTATTTACCGACATTCTACAGAATTACTGGCAAGGCGGGGGTTGCTTCCAGGAAATTGAAGCCGACGCTTGTGATGAAAATGAGGAGGAGAAGCAGATCCGAGAGGGATCATTAGGAGAAGTTACCGGTGAAGAACCCCCTTCTTCCGCGAAGAAAGGACATAAGCATAAACATTTCAAGTGGGCACCCAAGTTTGCCGGTGTCTACAAGAGTGTTGAAGAGGCCCCCCCTGGGAATGATGGCTGGGCTGTCAAAGAAGGGTATACAAGGTAAGTTTCCCACTTCATTACGGGTATAAAGTACACGATTTCTGACTTTGGCAAGTGTTACTCCAATGAAAGCCAACTTTGCCTTCACCCAGGCCGCTTCGGGGCAGAAGGAACTTCAGTTGTGAGTATTCTTAGCATGTTTTGTTTGGTGGCATATGCCTTTCGGGCGAATTTTCCTGCGAGCGGTTTGCCATTGGGTTATTGAGCCATCCATAGACCAAATTCTCACTCTATAAACATAGGCAACAAACAATGGCAGTACAAACTTTGCCAATCAGAGTGAAAGAACCTCGGCACAGCCAGCAGGGCCAGACTTTCCAGGCCATCGTGTCATATGAAGATCCCTATGTACAGCCCCTGATTCTTGCTGCTCTGACTTCAGTATTTCCCAAAGGCCTGGTTGATGTGATTGTAGACGTGCCCAACTCGCAAGATTCAACCTGGCTCAACCAGCTACTTGCGAGACCCGACGCAAGGGCCCTATCCATCACCTCCTACGAGCAAATCGACTTCGAGTTTGCAGCGTCACATCCCCGGTCATGCCTAATCAACAGTTACATGATTCGGAAGGCCTTGATACGGAAGCATTACCTTTCTACGACTGTAGATCACTGGGTTGCGAAGCGCCCTGAATCGATTCTGAAGACGCACGTTAGGCGAAGCGAGGCGTTCGAGGTGGATTTCGCCGAGTTCTTGGACGATGCCCTGATAGAGGCCTTTGATCTTCGGGAAAGCCTCGATCAAAACGAGTCACTCGAGGAGGCCAGCCAGAGACAATGGTGGATCCTCAAGCCTGGCATGAGTGACCGGGGACAGGGTATACGCCTATTCAGCACTATGGAGGAACTTCAGGCCATCTTTGACGAGTGGGAAGAGGGGGAGCCAGACAGTGATGACGAGGGCGGTGGGGAAGAGGACACCGGCGACGGTATCACGACATCCCATCTTCGTCACTTCGTGGCGCAGCCATACATCCACCCACCACTTCTGCTAAACGGGGACGACCGGAAATTCCACATCCGAACGTACGTTGCCTGCAGCGGTAGTCTCAATGTCTTTGTCTACAGGCACATGCTGGCTCTCTTCGCGGCAAAGCCCTACAGCAGTCCGTGGGACAGCCCGGGTGACATCGAGTCGTTCTTGACCAACACCTGCATACAGTCGTCACCCAACGAGAACACTGTGCGGCGTTTCTGGGACTTGCCACTTCCCTCTGCGAAGCTAGACTCCATCTTCTCCGACATCTGCCAGGTGACGGGTGAGATCTTCGAGGGCGCAGCACGCGCTATGCCGATTCATTTTCAAACTCTGCCCAACGCATTTGAGGTGTACGGGTTGGACTTCTTGGTGGACGCAGAAGGCACTCCGTTTTTGCTCGAGGTCAATGCGTTCCCCGACTTCAAGCAGACCGGGGCAGATTTACAAGAGATTGTCCAGGGCTTCTGGGAGGGGGTTTTGAGGTCTGCTGTTGCCCCCTTTTTCAACGTTGAGTCCGAGTTGTTAGGGGGGGCTGCAGTTGATAGTGGAATGGTCCTGGTGAGGAAGGTTGATCTTGGGAGGGGTTGATTTCAGCTCGGGATGTTTATTTGGGCACAGTTGTTGGCTAGATCAAAATGGGTAGAAAGCAACCAACAATTTGCTGCGAAAATTGATCATTGGTGGAGAGATACCACTTGATGGTTGAAAACATTCCACTCACCAACCCTAGTGACAAGAGAATAAAAGCGGCCGAGAAGACAGTTGGATATCGGACACACATGTATTTCTCAAGATAATATCAAAAGCAACATTTAACACGTTCGAGGCAACGCATGTACATTGTGCTTCGATCCGCGTGAGTGTGAGTATAGGGTAGGACACGATGACAGGCCTCCAATGACGCTGCGTAGGAACACTGACGGAAGGTGACAATAGAACATTGACGAGGCTGGGGAACACTGTACACGCACACACCACGAGTTCTTACGTGAGTCCCCCCTCCTGGTTGTGAAAGCTGAATGACAATTCTGATGCTGTAGGTTGGTTGCCAGGGTAGGTGCTTTTACGTCTTTCCAGATCTGGCGCAACATCAGGTTCCACCCAACAGTCAGGACATGTTCGCTAATATCGCCACTGAGCTCTCGGGAAGAAAGAATCTAATGGTTGAGCATGTGATCTTGTAGCGTAGTGATTGGAGGCCAAGGCATACTCCTATGCAGGTACGATCATGAGAATAAGCTGTATCACATTCAAATACGCCCCGTCGTTTAGCACGAACAGGCACACAATACGCGTGATGGATAGTACGAATGGCAGTCTTATGTCATGCTGTCGGTATGCTCGTAGCGGTTCGTTCATGATGTCTGCGGCTGGATCTTGAATTTGATTATTGGAAATTAACCTTTAGCTACGGGGAGGAAGGACAGGGTTGGTCTAGTTTGCCCGAGAAGGTGGGGATAATGAAAATGTCTACATAGTACTTGATCCCGGTGCCCTGATTCTGGCCACGATTAGACCTAGAGTGGACGCAATGTCACTTTAATTAACCGCGATTCACTGCACCAGGACTAGCCAATGCATCAAAGCTCCCTGGAACTGAATCCGCCCTTGCACAAGAAAGAAACAAACATTCTAGACGCTGCATGCTAATCTTGTACGTCATGATTCACGCGCTTGGCGGCCGTGATGGTGGGTAGAGCTCGCGATGTGGGAGCCGGAGTCACGACTTGGCATTGAGAGCCTAAGTTGAAGCCGACCCTGGCAGCCCGTGTCTTGGAAAGAAACAAGCACAACGGTATGCTTGACTTTGTGCCAATTGGGCCGGCCGCATTGTCACCGCCGCATTGCTACCGCGTCATTTCCCGGGGATGATGACCGCCACATCGGAAGGGCAGGTAACGCCATGCCTGTTTCGACGCACTGCATCCATCTGCTGGTCGCTACGTGTGAAATTTGCTACCGTTTTAAGGGGTAAATCCAACCCAATGATGCCAGGCCATCTCGATTGCGACCTCTTGTCGTCAATATCCGAGGCCCGATATTCTTAATGCTACGCGAGTGACATCATGGGACTTGAGCTTGGTTCTGGAAGACGGAGGTACCTGCTGCTATCTAATCACCAAAGTTCAGTCCGCCAACCGTTGACATGCGACATGCGATGTGTCACCCATGCACACGTTCCCGGTAAGTAGATTCATGGGATGGGATGCGCCCGTTATTGCCTGACGAGTGAGGCAGCCGGCGGTATAAGCTTTTGGGAGCTCCCAGGAGAACCTTGTCCGCATGCCTGATTATCGCGATCCATCTCCCTCTTATTAATGCATAGGTTTGATTACCAGGTTGCTGCGGGACTTTGGCTGTCAGTTATGTAAGAACGATAGAGTTAATACTCGTCCCATCTAGGATTGGTGGCTGGCTGCATAAGATTGTCGACGTGGTGAATTTGCCATGCCGGTGGCGCGCCCCATGACGGCTGCATACACCGGGTGCGTGTTGTCGTACGTTTAATAAAGAAAAATGTCAACTTCTCTCGACCCAATAGTTCCGGTCCTAGTCCGCACAGATTGCCTAATAGGTAGGCCGGCAGGCAAGTTTGACAGTAATCCGGAGGGTGCACACCGAGAGTCAACAACCCTCAGCTGGAGTCTTGAAGTGCTGGTGTGTCTGTCTTACTGACCCCCCAGGGAAATGAACTCCCTGATACACCTGCCCTGCCAAGGCTCTGATTAGCATTGATCTCCAAGGGCAGTTGGCATCTCCTCTTCAGTGCCCATGGCCGTGATGAATAAACTTGACTCGCGTGGCCACGGCGCATGGGCCAGGTTACCTAGTACCTACGCCTAATTTCTACTAATGTAAGCTTGTACCTAGCCGTAGCCAGTACCTAATACGCTGTACGGAATACGGAGCAGGAGAGACGGCGCGGTACCTTGAGGGAGCCACTTTGGCCACACCCGTGAGCTCAGGCTTAGTTTCAGGGATTAACTTGACGAGCTGCTGCATCATCAGCCAATAAGCAGATGGACCCGCTTTGCACTGCCCCAAACCCCACAAATCCCGAACTCATCCCCACTTATGCAGCAGCTTCCTCCTGGGAGGCAGGAGCACCAAAAGATGCTTGCTTGCTATGGTACTCTTGCCCAGTTACCAACCTTTTCGGTTGTCTTTGCAAAAGCTTGGTGTGAGCAACTTTCTTTCGCGCTGACCTCCTTCGGCCCAAGCGAACGGCGAAAAAATCCGGCTTCTTTTCAATTACCTTGTCATCTGGTCCGATGGGAGTTCTCTTCATCCAGCCTTAATATCTTTCCCTCCTTGATTTGCATACACTTCACTATGTTGTTGGGATACAACTAGCTCAACTTCAAAGCCGTCTGCTGGCTTTTTTTAACTCCTCTTCTCCGTATATCTTTCCTTTTTTTTTTCTCGGTTTACGAGTGCCTATATTGATCGAACCCCATTCGATATTTTGCAAGACCTCACGCCACATCCCGAGGGGTGCTAGTGTTGCCTTCGAATTGTTTATTATCATTAATGTTTTCAGTCACTCCTTAGACAGCTCTTCCAACAGAACTCCCTTCCCGACCCATAGAGGTCCCTGATACCCTTTTCTTTTTTATTGTTGGCCTGCGTTGTGGCTCAAGCAATCATGGCTGAGGACAAAGATCAAGATGGAGCTCAGAGCCGCTCTGGGCAGCCCGACACCGCGTAAGTTTACTTTCATTTCTTTGGCCGTTTGGCTTACGGAACCGCTGGGACACCTGTTCCTCGTGATGTCTCACCTTTCTCCCCAGTATATGTAGCTTCCGGGCAAGCTAACCCACAACCAAAGGCCGGCCATCATGATCAACACACCTGCTGCCAGCACTGGTGACCTTCATAGTGGGATTCACCTGGACTCAATGCCCCAATCCAAGCCGGATTCCTCCGCTCACAGCCAAGGCCATACACCAACTTCCCCAAGCGCTGAACAACACCCCAAGCTTCAACTCCAGACATCCTTCGACAGCAAAGAGAGCCGACCAACGAGTTCTCACAATGTTTCGAGTCCCGTAAGGGGGAAAGGGCTGGAACGCGGGGCATCCTTCTTGGAAGTTCCTGGAAGCGGGCGCGACAGGCAGGGTTCGATTGATTCTCAAGATAGCTCGCGATCTCTCTCCTCCCAGGGCGACCACACCGTTGTCGGAACAACTTCTGACAAGAACAAGTCCTCCCGAACCCAGAACGACAAGATCATGAATGATGACACAGCTCTTAAACCCGATGCTGGCACTGAAGAGCATTTCCAGGTCGAAAACAACCCGTTTGCATTTTCCCCTGGCGAGCTCAGCAAAATGTTCAACCCGAAGAATCTGGCGGCCTTTTACAAGTTGGGTGGTCTGGTAGGGTTGGAGAAGGGTCTTCGTTCCGACCGAAGGGCTGGCCTCAGCATCGAGGAGAAGGGACTTTCAGGGCAGGTTACTTTCGAGGAGGCGACTGGCAAAGCCAATGAGAGTGGCCTGGATCAAGATTCGGCCCCGGCAGCTCACCATGTATCAAGTGATGGAGAAGGCGACTCATTCCACGACCGACGTCGCATATACAAGGACAATCGGCTTCCAGAGCGCAAGGGCAAGACTTTGCTAGAGCTGATGTGGATCACGTTCAATGACAAGGTCTTGATTCTGTTGTCCGTTGCTGCTGTGGTCAGTCTTGCTGTTGGGCTCTACCAGACTTTTGGAAAGAAGCACGAAAAGGACGAGCCGAAGGTCGAATGGGTAGAGGGAGTGGCCATCATCGTCGCCATTGCAATCGTGGTGATCGTTGGTTCATTGAACGACTTCCAAAAGGAGAGGCAGTTTGCCAAATTGAACAGAAAAAAGCAAGACCGGGTTGTAAAGGCCGTACGATCGGGCAAGATCGTCGAAGTATCCGTCTACGACGTGTTGACCGGTGATGTCATCCACCTCGAGCCTGGTGACCTGGTGCCTGTTGACGGTGTCTTGATCGAGGGCTTTGATGTCAAATGTGATGAATCGCAGGCCACCGGTGAGTCAGATATCATTCGCAAGCGAGCAGCCGACGAAGTTTTCAATGCCATCCAGAACCATGAGAGTCTAAAGAAGATGGACCCATTTATCCAGTCTGGTGCCCGAGTGATGGAGGGAGTTGGTACATTCATGGTCACTTCCACCGGTGTTTATTCGTCGTATGGCAAGACTTTGATGGCCCTCAACGACGACCCTGAAATGACACCACTCCAAGGAAAACTGAACATCATCGCCACCTGGATTGCAAAGCTGGGTAGTGCTGCTGGTCTTCTTCTTTTCATTGTTCTGTTCATCAAATTTCTGGTCGCTCTACCCCATATGCCAAGCTCGGTCACCCCTGAGGATAAAGGACAACAATTCCTTAACATCTTTATTGTTGTGGTCACAATTATCGTGGTTGCTGTTCCCGAAGGTTTGCCACTTGCCGTCACGCTAGCCCTGGCATTCGCGACAACACGAATGCTAAAGGATGCCAATCTCGTCCGACACCTCAAGGCATGCGAGGTTATGGGCAATGCTACAAGTATCTGCTCTGATAAGACTGGTACTCTCACCCAGAAT